AGCGAGGCGGCGGGCCGGGCCGGGCCGGGCCCGCTGGTCGCTGGGGCTCGTCAGCAAGGGCGCGCCCGGAGCCCGCTATCCCTCCCGGGAGGGGCGAGGCCTGCGGGCCGGAGTGCGCTTCGTCTCGCTGGGCGAGGGGAGGGCGGTGTGTAACGGCGGTAAGCTGCCGGCTCCGGTTGCAGATCGAGTGCTGCCGAGGAGGCGGCGGTGGGGTTCTGTGCTTGTTTCAAATCAATATATTCACTATCAAAAGCCTTGTGAGGCACAGCAAGCTTTCTGCTGACATCCGCTGTGCGATGTGACGTTGATGCATGGCACTGTCCCGTGGTTCAAGGATTTTCAAACCCGAAGGACACGGTAGGTGCGGTGCACTTGCTGGGAAGGGGTTAGTGCTTTGTGGTAGTGCCAGGGACTAAAGTTATGTCTGTCTCTGAGCTTGCTTTGTCTCTGTGCTTGGAGGAGCGTGTTGTTTCTTGTGTGCTCAGCTCTCTCCTGCTGGTTATCCTTGCCTCTTTTGTACGTGGATCTTAATCTTCCAAAAGTAGTTTTTACATGTTGAGCTTCCCTTATCTGCTGGGACTTGAATTGTGTTATTTACAGTATCATTGATCGGTGTCAGTGTGGTATAACTGATCAGTAGCTAAAGCCTTGAACAAGGGCTAAACAGCAGCTAAACCAGTGAGGATGATGGTAGGTGATACCCAAATTTTAGCTGGCTGACTTGTGGCTTTTCTGCATCAAACCGGTGCTCAGACTGTAACGTGCTGAATCTCAAAGGTTATCCATTCAGTCTGAAAAGTTTACGTGGCTCAGGAGGTGATTGTAATTGCTTGTGTCTATTTTTTTCCAGGCCTGTGATCACCATGGCTGCAGTGGATCGTTTCTACCTCTTGTACAGAGAGATCAGTCGTTCCTGCAATTTTTACATAGAGGCCCTGGCTATAGTTGGCGCTTGGTACACAGTCAGAAAATGTATCTCTCTTGTGTTTGACACTTACAGCATGCTTAGGTTGCATTTAATCCCAAAGCTGGGTGGCGAGATTGATCTTGTAAAGCAGTATGGAAAATGGGCCGTGGTCACTGGTAAGAGACTGAAGCAGTATACTTGCTTATGTTTATGTAACATACTGTGCCAGTACTGTAAAACTTGCTGGTTTATATTGCTTTATGTCACAAGCTGGGGTCTGCATTATCTCAGGTTGCAAGTTAATCTGCTTGAGCAGTGGCAGTTTTTCAGTGCTTTACTAAATTCAGTTCCTCAGGAGATGGGCAAGCTCAGGGTGTTGATTCACTGCTGGGAAACAATCACAGAGCAATTTTTAGGAAAAACTGCAAGGTACACCCCGAACGCATACAAGTGTAGGCAGAGATGCAGACAAGATCCTTTTTTTGCTATGGTCTTTTCACATGTGCTCAAGTTCTTCAGTAAGGTTTAAGCCATGTACCTCTGACATCCTCGCCTTTCGTTAAGGTTCTACTCTAAGCTCTCTGTTGTCGTCATAGAAAATATAAAACTTGTATGAGGTGGGACTGCAGAAGGTAGCTACTGACAATCACGGAAACATGGTAGGATGACTTGCACAACTGGGGTGCTGCAATGGATGGCTATAAACCCTTCAGAAGGGATAGACAAGGAGGGAGAGGTGGTGGGGTAGCCCTGTATGTTAGGGAGTGTTTTGGTTGTCTAGAGCTTAATGATGGTGATGATAGGGTTGATTGTTTATAGGTAAGAATCAGGGGAAAGGGCAGCAAGGCAGATATCATAGTGAGAGTCTGTTATAGACCACCCAACTAGGATGAAGAGGCAGATGAAATATTCTATAAACAGCTGGGAGAAGTCTCACAATCGCTAGCCCTTGTTCTTGTGGGAGACTTCAACTTACCAGATGTCTGCTGGAAATACAGTACAGCAGAGAGGAAATGGTTTAGGAGGTTCCTGGAGTGTGTGGAAGGTAACTTCCCGACGCAGCTAGGAAAGGTGCCCCGCTGAACCTGTTGTTTGCAAACAGAGAAGCACTTGTGGGTGATGTGGTGGTTGGAGGCTATCTTGGCCCTAATGATCATGAAATGATAGATTTTTTTTGATTCTCGGAGAAGTAAGGAGAGGGCTTGACAGAACTGCCACCTTGGACTTCAGAGGGCACACTTTGGCCTGTTCAGGACCCTGGTTGACAGTCCCTTGGGAGGCAGTCCTGAAGGGCAAAGGAGTCCAGGAAGGCTGGACATCATTCAAGAAAGAAATCTTAAAGGTGCAGGAGCAGGCCATCCCCATGTGCTGAAAGACAAGCTGGCAGGGAAGAAAACTGGCCTGGCTGAACAGAGAGCTTTGGCTGGAATTTGGGGAAAAAAAGGAGCGTTTATGACCTTTGGAAGAAGGGGCAGGCAACTTGGGAGGATGACAAGGATGTTGTGAGGTTATGCAGGAGAAAATTAGAAGGGCCAAAGCCCAACTAGAACTTAATCTGGCTACTGCTGTAAAAGACAATAAAAATTGTTTTTATAAATACATTACCAACAAAAGGAGGTCTAAGGAGAATCTCCATCCTTTATTGGATGTGTGGGGAAACATAGTGACAAAGGATGAGGAAAAAGCTGAGGTACTTAATGCCTTCTTTGCCTCAGTCTTTAACAGTAAGACCAGCAGTTCTCTGGGTACCCAGCCCCCTGAGCTGGAAGACAGGGAGCAGAATGAAGCCCCTGTAATCCAAGGGGAAGTGGTTAGTGGCCTGCTACACCACTTAGATACACAGGTCTATGGGGCCGGGTGGGATCCACCCAAGGGTGCTGAGGGAGCTGGCAGAAGTGCTCACCAAGCCACTTTCAATCATCTATCAGCAGTCCTGGCTAACTGAGGAGGTCCCAGTTGACTGGAGGTTAGCAAACGTGACACCCACCTACAAGAGAGGCTGGAAGGAGGATCCGGGGAACTACAGGCCTGTCAGTCTGACCTGGGTTCCGGGGAAGGTTATGGAGCTGATCACCTTGAGTACCATCACATGGCATGTACAGGACAACCAGATGATCAGGCCCAGTCTGCGTGGGTTTATGAAAGGCAGGTCCTGCTTGACTAACCTGATCTCCTTCTATGACAAGGTAACCTGCTGAGTGG